CAAGATAAACAAGATCATTTAGGTAAATAAACAAAATCATTTTGTGTTACATATTTAGTCTATTAAACGGAATATTATGTTTTTCATCAAAAATTTACGAAAAGCTTTTTGTAATATTTTGTAAAAATTAACGAAATTTTTTAATATAAAAAAATTTCGAAAATTTCTGCAAAAAATTTTGAAAATTTCTGCAAAAATTTTCGCAAAATTTTACATCAAAAAATTTGAAGATTTACGAAAATTTACGGAAATTTATGTAAAAATTTACAGAAATTTTACATCCTGAAAACTTACGGAGTTATCCGCCCTTAAAAATTTCCTGATGTAATCACCGGTTATATCATAGGTCGGCATAGGGAGCTAATTTTAATTATAGGATCAATAACAGTATTAATTATTTTTTAAAAATTAATTTTTAGTTTGTTTAAAATATTTCATATAATAATCTATACTGATTTTTTATATATATTATTACTTTACCCTAGAACCTATTGTATTAAATTTTTATCAAAATTAAATAATTATTAAAGTATTTTTACTTTATAAAATTTTTTAATAAATAAAAAATTATCAAATTTTGTGATTATTATAATATATAAAAGTTTTGTCTTATCATAATTTGTAATATTATAAAATAAAAAATTATACGATAGGAAAAAAATTATTTTATTATTATATTTGTAAAAAAAATTATCAATAACTTATATTTCAGTTTTTATTTTGTCTTATTTTTATAGTTTTTTTTTAAAAAAAATTAATTGTAAATATTGAAATATGACGATATTATGATATAAAATGTAACATCATAATTATCAATCAAAAACTTCAATATATTAGTAATATTAATACATTATAATAGAGGATGAACAATTATTTAATTTATTATTAATAGATAGGATTTCACTGTACTACCAGTAGTACAATGTACTACATTGTAACAGTTTTTGAAGTCCTATATCTGCTGATTGAAAAAGCCACCTGATTTCACATTTTATAATTATCTTTATTATAAGTGGCTTGTTACGTACCACTGGTTACAGAACATATTTTATATAGAGAATTTCATGTGAGGCTAAAGTTAATCTGTGGCACTACTCAAAATGGCACATATGCGATGTCAATCAAATCAAATAAAGAAGCAAGTATTTAGTGTCATAATTAATAGATTTTTTTAGTGTAAATATAATAAATATGTTGTACAAGGGATTTTAATTACTTATTATAAATAATTCATTATCGACTTGTGACATTTTTCCCTTTAACTCACATGAAAAAAAGAGGTTTTGAGTGAAAAATGAATTATTTAATAAAAGTGTAATTGAAAAAATATATACAATGGTTAATTGAAATAACTGGAATTTCTCCGCAGTTCATAATACGGTAATTATACAAACCTATAGTACCTTTGTATAACTTTTTTTTTTTTGAAAAATTTTTTTCACCTTTTTTTTTAAAAAAAAAAATAGATTGAATTTCGCTGAACATTAGGGAAGAAGCAAAAGTAACTATTTTGGAAACTGTTGTAGGTGAAAGAATTGCTCACCCACTTGCAGAAGATATGTGAAAAATAAAAAGACTTTCTGCTACTATTTTACGAGCTGCAACTGGTATAAATCGTTGGATAATAAGTCTTAATACTAACCTAGAAATAGAAATTGAAGTCTCTGCGGGCCGTATGAAATTTGTAGCTATTACTATGCCTATCAATGATTTAAATAATAATAATGATAATATTTATGAGGAGCCAGTCAGTGAACCAGAAACTAATATTTTAAGTGAAAGCGAAAAAGAAGAGGAAGAAGTAAATGTCAATAACAATAATGAACTTTTGTGAACAGACGCAGCCGTAATTATCAATTTTCGTAGAGTTTTTTGATCTTATTCAAATGTAACAGTTGTTCATATTTCTGATATCGAACATGCAACACCAAGACAATTTTTTAAATGTTTTTTGTCTATAGAATATATAATGTCAACTGTATTACCTTCTACAAACACTTGTGCACGTGCAAGCGAACGTTATTGGAAAAATTTAACTTGAATGGAGTTTATATAATTTATTGATATTTTAACTATAATGACATATGTTCAATGTGTTGACATATGTGATAATTGGTCGATAGAACAAAAAACTGGTGAAGTTTCATTAGAATTTGGTCAGTATATATCACATCAATGTTTTCGGGATATTGTCAAATTTTTGACACTAACAAATATACCAATAGATAATAATGATCTATTTTATTTTGCCCGAAAATTCCATAATGAATTTAATGAAAATCTTGCCAAAGCTATTATACCTGGAAGTATACTTTGCATTGATGAATCAATGTGTCAATGGATGGGTAAAATTGATAAAGGTCCATTTCAACAAAAAATATCAAGAAAACCTCATCTAATTGGATTGAATTCAAAACAATGGCAGATATATGAACTAATTTATTTTTACAATTAGATCCTGTAGAGCCTTCAGAATATTCTAGTAAAAAGAAATTTGCTGAACATTTAGCAACAATTGCAACTATGTTACAATTAACTGAACTATGGTTTAGTAGTGGAAGGACAATCATTACAGATTCATGATTTGGTAGTGTAAAGACTTGCACTATATTATATAAACATGGTTTATATTCTATCTTGCAATTAAAAAAATATCGATATTGGTCAAAAAACATTCCTTGTGATATCACAGATGCCCTAGAAAGTGATTATGGATCATTTATTAGTTAAATTGGAAAATTTGATGATGTTGATCTTACCTTGTGCTCTTTTCGTGATTGTAAAAATATTGTTCTCCTTTTCAGTTGTTCCACAACAAACCTTAAGAATGAAGTAACTAGATATATTAAGGATCATGGTAATGTTAAATTTCATAGGCCTGCTGTTTTTGATGAATATAATGAATATCGATCGGCTATAGATATACTTAACAATTTATGTATGTGACAATATACTTTCTTATCATGATATTCTCACAACAAAATGTTCAGAAAATCAAATTTTGGCTTTTTATTTTTCTGTTGCAGAGGCAAATAGCTATTCTGCATACTGTCAATTTGTTCCTGGAAAAAAAAATATAAAACATGTAGATTTTTGCAAGTAATTAGTAATTTCAATTTTTGATTATTATTCAGAAGATGAAACTGTTAGTAATAGAACCAAAAAATGAAAAAGAAAGGACTCAAATGACATTTAATATGATCTTATTAATATCAAAGATAATTCTTCATCTTCACAGCTTAAAGGAAAGCGTATTCAACGTCATTGTATTAGTTGTCATAAACGTACTACTACTGGTTGCAAGTGTTCCATGCCACAAGCCATGTGTTCAAATTGCTGGGCTAATCATATTCGTAATACATATAATCCAATTCGTACGGGATAAATATTTTTTTTATACATTCTTCTATGTCTATTCTATCAATTTTAAAATCCGCAGCTAATAATCTTTTCTCAGTAAATCACAAAACGATCCTTAATAGTGTACTATATGTAGTACACCCGTTTTTACAAATCATGTCATAACTTTATAATTTTATATTTTGTTAATTCTATAATTAATGTAAATAAAAATTGTGCTAATGTATAAAGGAATATTTAAAAATTCTTTAAATAAAAAATTATACAAATTTATTGAATTTTGAGTGCTCAGTGAATTTTATTAAATGTACTACCACTGGTTGAAAATTGATAAAACATACATATATCGGGTACCTGATATGTGTATGGTGTATCCCTAATATCGGATATATATCAGGTACTCAATAGGTGTTGTTATCCATGTAAACCTTCTACAATTTATAAAGACAACAGGTGAAATAATACTAAAACTAATAAACAAAACTAAATAAAACTATAAGAATTACTAATCTCAAGATA